TTAGTCTTGCCAGCGAGGCTGCCTAGTATGTTTCTTTTTTGTTTTTTTTTTTTTTTCTCTTGCCCTAATGTATTATGATTTATTTACGAGATGCGATATCCTAAAAATGAAGAGAAATACTGATACATTGTAGTCATAATACGTTCCATACGATGTCTTCTAAACTCTATAGTATAAAACTACACAGTAATAGTATGTCTGTTTGTTACGATATTACGTAGAAACTACTACACCAAATTGTAAGCGGTGTTCTTAAAGTTCCAACGTAAATTCTGGTCGAAGTTTTATCATGATACACTATCTGTAAATAGCATATTTTATTAATTTTTCTTCTTACGCACGATTACCCGATTTACAGCATATCCAGAGAAAAAATATTAAATAACTAGATACATGGAATCGCGGACAAAAACTATGTAGTATGATTATTTTATAAAGGCAAAGTGCACTATGAAAGTCTATCTGCAACAACTGAAATATACTATAAACAACAATAGTCCCCATTACAAGGGACCAGCAAAGCTGAAAAGCAATGACCCGCGAAAGTCACACGTTCGCCGTGTCAGATCCGGGATCGTTTGACTGATCCCAGATCAAGCAAATGTTTTGAATCGACCTTAGGAGACGACTATAATCCCTAACTATTGCAATAAAGTGTTAATCAACTAGATAAATAAATACAGTTTAGATAATTTTAATTTCTTCAAACAATATTTTCGATGAAATATATTTTTTCAACTATATCTAAGGTTTATATCATATTAATTACACTAGCTTTTTACCCGTGACTTCGTCTGTACGAATATGTTCACCAATTGGGTAATAGAGGAGACTTTTACGAGAAGGAGACTTTGTCCAAAAGTCACTTGCTTGAGCACCTCTGTTCCATTCGTGTTTCTACCGTAAAGCAGATGTTTTCCTGTGTTTCAGTTTGAAGGGTGGGATATGGCAGTGAATTTACTGGGTACAAAGGAATAACATCTGAATACTCAGAAATGGCAACGCAAGGGGGTATTATGGGCGAAACAGTATACTCTGTTATGTCCATGGTACTGCTCATGTCTATAGGCAACGGTTACCACTTTGTATCAGGTGGGCCGTCAAGTTGTTTGCCATTATAAGTTGCATAAAAAAAAGTAACCTGTCCTTATCTATCCCATATAGTACGTATGTGTCAAGCTTCATAGTGATTGTTGGTAATAACATTTTTTGGTAACAAATTTTGGTAACAAATTTACAATCACATTAAGTAATGATAATGCAATTTAAATTACGAGGATATTTTACTTGTGTCCCGGCAAAGATTAGGTAGGCCATCCCTTCCTTTCCCGTCAACTAAAGAACGGCGGGGGATGGGCAGCAGCGTCCCTCCTAAAATATCTCTAAAGCCTAACTGCGGTTGCCAATCTACCTGCCAAGCGTGGCAACTACTTACAAAGTCCCCTAAGAGGACCCGTAAAAAGAATATAATAGATTGACTTGTATCTACGTGTATATACTCATTTACAGACAAAATTATTATGAAACAAAAGGAAAATTTTATAAGAAACAAAAAGTGCAAAAAAAACCAAGAAATTGCAAATAAATTTTGCTTGTCGGGACGTGTTACATTGTTATTCTATGAGTGGGAGGCATTGCGAGAGAGTTCTGATAGTAACAATGAACGGAAAGTTATGAGGGTAGAAAAATATGTCTACCCTTAATATATTTCCCAGTCACTGAACATCTGCTTCTCAGTGCTAATGGCATTGATATGCCGCATAATAGCTTCAGTTCTTTCTTCAGTATTTTCTCTTATTCTGTGAAATAATTCGGATTTTCGAGACTGTCTTTTTATTATTTTACCATGACTAATATTTTAGAAGCATTATATCTACTAATAGTTTGATATAATAGTTCTGACATAGAAACTGTATATCGCGGCTTCGTGATCGCATTATGATGTTAAAAAGCCTTCTTAAAGAAATGACTTGTTAAATGCAAATAGATTTTTTTTAAATCAAACAAATAAACATACCTTCCTGCTTTATTATATTAGTAAAGATGATATTGAATATATATTACATATATTTTTGCGTTGGTTTGACCACTTGGAGTGCATGGACTCAAGAAGAGTTACAAAAGATATTTATCCAGCAAGAATGAATGGAGATGTCGATAGGGATCACCCTAGTCGGATATTTGTCGACCAAATAGGCGACGTTCTGAAGAAAGGCACAATTAAAAATACCCGTAACCGGCGAGCGTGTAGCGAGATTGATGAATGTAGAGGAAGCGAAAGAGGCTTGTCTGAATCGAAGCATTGGGCGTTCCATTGTTTCTGCCTACCCTAATGGGAGACAGGCGTGACTGATATGTAAGTATGCATCTATCTATGATTATTAGCAACTCTCATGACGCAAATTCTGTCATACTTATTCATGAATTTGTTCACTAAACATAACTTTACATAATATGGGATCTAAGCCTTTATCTCATCAATTTACATCAAGCTCTTTATAGGTACTTACAAAGAGTATTAAATTGCTTTCACATAGAGTTTTATTACTCGCCATACTTATTAGATTACCTACTGGATATTACTTAGATTGTAAAAAAGCTGGATTTACGTCAAGAACTATTAATAAGAATGTTAGAAAAAATGTTAATGTGATTGTTACTTAATTACGCTTAAATGGCTGAACAAATTCAAATGTATTCTGTAAGTATATATGTTATATCCTAATTTATTATTTAATATACTTTAAGTACTGATACATATATACTGAGCTGTAAGAAACAGCAATTTTTATATAAATACTACCACCATAGAAAGCAGTACTCCGTGAACTGACTCCACCCCTAAGAATTTCTATTTGTCTACTTGTCTGACGCAAATCTGATAATTATTATCTTATTAAGTAATTAATTAAGATTAATTAAAATATAAATAATCTTAATTAATTACTATTTATCCAGTTCTAAAATAGGCGCGTTCGATATTCGACTTCATATAACAACATACAATAAAAAAAATATATGAACTACATTACATTCAAAAAGGACAAAAAAATAAACTATTTTTTTTTTCTTTCACTTCCAAAATATTTTGAGCTTCATTACTCTGGTACATTTATTTGTGAAATGATTAATGACATTTTTTATTGTTTTTTTCATATATAAAGTATATATTAATTTGGGAATACTGATAAATTTCCCTGGTAGAACACTTCCTTAGAATTCGCCCTAGATTTCAATATCTCTATAAATGAAATATTATCAATTTAATACTTATTGTAATTATCTTTTTTTATAGCACTGAGGTGGCAAACAAGCATACGCCCAACTGATGGATAGTGGTATCTGCAATATAGCTATGTAATGTGACATTTATCTTGGACACTATATCTCAAATCATAGTAGTATCATAGTATATCTGTCAAGTTGTTCAGTACAATTTGTGAAGCGAAAAATAAAAGTTATTATTGTATCAGTTCACCAAACTGTATATACAATTTAGCCTTTATACGATTTATGAAAAAGAAAATATATGCGCTTATTTTCATATAGATTGAAATATTTGCATTACTTATTTCCATTTATCTGTATACACAGTGTTAACAAAGACTGCTACATAAATATAACAAACAAGCTTTTGCTCGCAACCTCATACGCGTAGATTTTGAAAGTAGATGTCCATTTCTAGATTGTAGGCTTATTAAGATCATTTAAACACGAAAATTTAAATCAGACCTTTAAAATGTTAATTTAAAATTAAGATAAAAAATACCGACTTCAACTAAACAATTATTTTTATTTCAAAACTAAACTACTTAGCTGATTTTAATAAAATTAATTTGGGACCAATCTGTAAGTATATCCTTATACAAACAAAAAACATAAAAAAAAAATCAAATTGGTTTATAACTAATGGATTAATGAGGTAACAAAAAAAAAAACAACCGAATTGAGAATCCACAAAACTATTGTTTCACATTCTGCAGCTCTTATTAAGACCCATCGTACCAATTTCTCTAAATAATCTCCTACGTACAGACATTGTGTAGTTACATTGTATTAAGTAAGATTACATCAAAAGTTTAGTTACTGTCGTCTTTAGCTGCGACCTTTAGACGAATTTCGCAACTAGCACGTGACGTTCCAAATTTGTCGGTCATTGTTTAATATTTTACTCATATCGTCCGTCTAGTGACCATTACGTTTACGTCTAGTCAATTTTTCTTTTAAAATTCTTGTAGAATTTTTCCGATGAATGAATAGATAAATCATGGATGGATGGATGGATTCACGCAAAAACCATTGAACGGATTTGAATGAAATTTAATACACAAGTAATATATGTATATACTAATTAAGTAAACAGGACACTTTATATACTTGACTTGGGTGAATCCGCGGGATACGACTAGTAATATATCTATCATATGCAAAATTGGCCGTGTGATCCTGGCGTAAAGCGTAACTGCGGTTGCCAGTCCGCTTGCCATGCGTGGCAACTACTGACAACCCCCTCCTCCAAGAGGAGGCTTATGTTCAGCAATGGACAATTAGTCTGATATAATGGTGATGATGAAAAATTAAGCATAAATTATTTATTAGCCATTACCAATTGAAAAGTATCTAATATAGGTATTTCCTCAAAACGGAATCCTTCCTTAAGGCGGAAAGGATTACTAACAAAACAGGAAGAAAGGAATATGGTAATACTATAATACATTATTAACCTGCTACTGTAGAAAACAAAGTTACATAAATTCATTGTTGCCTTACTATGGCTTTTTTTTATTTCGAAATATCTTATTTACAAATTATTTTTTATACGTTAACCAACTATTGTTTTATAATCCTATACTTATAATACTATACTCATATACCTACTCTTTCTTAGAAAAAGATGTTATTTTATAAACACTATGACAGGATACCGAATTTATATATGTTCTTTCTAATTACTTACTTAAAATCAATTTAATCCAGCTATTTTTACCTTTTCCACTTAGCAAGAATGTGGCGAAGAAATATGGGAGACCATATTGCGAGAGGCTGGCGCAAGAAACACAGTTTTTAGTGCTACACAGGTATGAACAATCACATAAAACCAAAAATATTTAAGAAACATAATCGATATACGTCGAATGCTTATATGAACAACAAATACTCGTAATTCAGGATACACGAAATCAAACATGGAAAAAATAACCTTTCAGAAATATAAGATAGAAATATTGAAATTTCAATTAAAAAGAACATTTTATAACATATAATGCATTTTAGCATAGAATTTTACTACTGTACCATAACAAACAATATTTCTATGTACCAGTAGCAGAAAAATAATCCATTTTAGAATAAATATTCAATAAATCTTAATAAAACTATTTGTTTGCAGCAATATCCCGACGCGTTGATGTTACGCCTCGCAAGTGCATTAGCTGGCCTTTTTTCTAAAGATTCCAATAGTCCAGCGACATCTATGCCCTGCAGTCCAGCTCCAAGAAAACCATCCTTGAAATCGAAACCAACGTGGCGAAGTGCTTCTGTCCACACAGATAACAGAGGTCAGCCTTTCAGATGTCCCTTCACAGCTACGAACGTACTGACAGCTGTAACAAAGAAAGAGATAGATGCCTACAATTCATCGGAAGAAATATCTCACAGTGTCTCCAAATCTTGGGATAGGATCAATGAGGGCAAAGAACTTGAAATAAGCAATATAAAAGAAGTTAAACATAATAGAAGAAGTTTAGCGATCAAATTCGAAGATCACAGAGAAAAGAAGGAATGGATAAATGAATGTCCTGAATCAAATGAGCAGGTAAAAAGTACAGATGACTCAGAGAATAAATCAACTGAATCTGATAACAACAGAAAAAGTTCTATTAAAAGATCAAGCTGTACTGGAGCTTTGGAAGTGTACAGGCGAAGAGGATCTGGGGTTCCTCGCTTGAACAGTCTCATTCTTGTTAATGGGGACAAATTGAACGCTATGCGGGAAAAATTCGCCACCCCCGAAAAGGTTATGCATTTCTTCGGCAGGTGCTTTGTAAAGTTCTTCAGCAACTATGGGTGCGTATTCTTCCATATAAATGTCACTACTATAGCGTGCCTTTTTTTCATTATGAAGAAAATTTTGATACTTGGTCCACGATATAAATAATATTATTTATACAATTTTACCTAATTTTGAACAGTAGCTGTATGCTGTTTCAGATTAATCTCATACAAAAGCTTTAGACTTTGAATTTTCGTAACGAGTTTATTATATAAAAAAAATTGTTTAATAACTAATGCTACTTTTAATGTTACGAAGTAGAACGTTAATAATAGGTAAGCATTTTATATCAACAACATAGCAAAAATAATGACTGTATATTTTATAAAGATAAATATTTTACGAAAGTCATGGTCATATTTTCTGACGCTAATACTTTATTTGACGTCATGGGCACGTTCCCATCAAGTTATTGGGAAGTCGCAAATATTATACTTTGTATTATTATTTAGGAAAGTATAATAAGTAATAAACCTTAAATCATACATGTTATATGTTTAAAGAATTTCTAAAGAAATAAGGTTCTCAATTCTCGTCTTTATTTTTCGGCTTATATTACACAAAATTTTCATCATTCCTGATCAGAACTTAACAATCGTTAAGTTTTACTCCTGTATTGTTCGTTTCATTACAATAAATGCCGTATTTTTTTCAAAAATTATGCCTTTTATATCTCTGTACATCATACATAACAAAAATATGTATCAACATATTTATACAACTACGTACTAGTAACAACCCGTCGCTTAATTTTCCGGGTATAAAAGTTTTTAATGAAACTTTGACTTCAGCAACGGCATCTTAGGCCATATTCTAAATTCAAACATTTGAAATTTAATGCGTTCTTAGATTATAAACGCGTTGCCGATCATCAGCATATGTTTTTTTTAAATTTCTATAATGAGTCAATATTCATTATGTCGTAATTCAAGGCACCGTTTTTTTCTAGCAAATATAATGTGTTTGTCTTATTTTTAAACTGTATGATAATATTATCCCTAAAGAGTTTAATAATATGGTTGTCACATCGCTAATAGAAGCCATTTTTAAAAGACGCAATAAAATTTTATTTATATCAGATTTCACATAACAGACGCCTACGTGCGTATTTTGTGAAAGCTTACACAACGTTAGGAAAGTAATGAAAATTCATTGATATCAATAAAATAACTGTCAATCAAATTGATGAGTGTGAACATATTGATAAATGGTTTGGACGCACATGCGTGATTTGGACATCGATGCAATAGGGTAAATAAAATTAAATGAAAAATTCTGGGACACAAATCAATCTAGAATGGAAGCATCCATTTTTGAGAATAAAGTACTAATGTAAGAGTGTAATCGAAATCATTAACATCTATTATTGAGGTGTTCTATGTACTAGTGAAACTGTCTTCTCAAAGAGACTAAAAAGTCTCTTTGACTAAAAACTCCTGGACTAAAAATTGTAAAATGTTGAGCACCACATACTAAAACTGCGCGCTTTTATAAGTTAGTACGACAATTTCACAATTATTTGGGTCATTTTTAACAAGTGATTATTCAATTTCGGAGAACTTTTGAACTATGCTTTCAACTTCTAGTCCTCGGAAAAGCCAATGTTCCCAAAATGTAGAAGGAATCATTTTACAAAACACTTTCTGGAAACATTAAATGTTCCGAAGACTTGCCTAAAACCAAAAATTTTCACCGAAATCAGACAAAAATATTGCTTGATAAAAATCACCCATTTGTCGATTTTCAATTCACGTTTCTCTCAGCTTTACTAATAGAATACTCCCAAGGAAACTAATAAATTCAAGTTCAACATCATCGACTATATTTACTAATCACATACCAACAGCTACGACACAATGATCCGCGCTACTGGACGGTACTTCTGTACGTTCCTGCAGTCAGTGGACAGTATACATCAACGGATGAGGTTCACCTTCCCGCGGATGCGTTCACCTAACATGCAGCTCACGCGTGCTCACAGGCACGGTGCCGAGCTTGTATACAGCAGTGGAAGGACTGGTTTTACCCATTATCTCATGGGCAAGTAGCATTTCTATTTTATTATTATATTTTCTAGGATCTGATTGTTCTGGGTTATGCCCCAATTTTTTTTCTGTCTGAGTCCTTATTACACATGCTGGCTTAATTTAAGGACCAGAAAATTGATTATGTACTGTAGATAGTCTTTTGGGAAAACTTTATCTCAAAATAGACTCGTATTCTAGAGTTTATTCAGACTACAAGTATACATATCTAAACATATTATGTCCAAAAATTATCTGATTTCAACGACCTTAAACCATTTGCTAACAGAGTAAGCATACAATGTGTTTCTGCTCTTTTCCGCTTCAGGATGACCAAAAAAGATATGTTGCCAGAACATATTTTGATTATAAAATATATTTGATAAAAAAAAAAAACAAAATAATAATAAGCTAATATTATCTCATTCTGGCTCAGTGGCCCGGCACAGAATAAGCCTTCCTTTCCCGTGGGTGTCGTAAAAGGCAACTAAGAGAGAGCGAGGGATGGACAGCAGCGTCGCTCTTAAAACATCTTCAAAGCCTAATTGCGGTTGCCAATCCGCCTGCCAAGCGTAGCAATTACTGGCAAAACAAATGATGATTATCTTCTTCAATCCATTAATTTAAAAAGCTGTTGATAGGCCACATCTTTTCAAGTCAGCGACGGTGTGGGAGAAAAGTTGGAATCATAACACATACACACTATTCTAGAGACTTGAACCCACTCTCAGATATTATAGATCATAGTTGTAATATAATTAAACTTGTTTCCAGGCCAATTGTATGAGATTGCCGAAGATATATTTTCCTTGAAGCTGAAGGTGTCAATATTAAAAGAGAGCATGGATGGCAACTACTACGTTGCCGTATTGCGATTAGAATTTGATAACAGTGATTATGTAAGTAAATTACTTTTTTTACCTCAGGTACTTTGTATAAAAGTTTTCTCTATGAATACTTTAGTATCTCTCGTATTTTTCGATGTGAAGAGTGAAATAGAGAAAAATTACAGAGTACGGAACGTGCATGTATGACAGTTACAATTTTTCACCACTTAAACTTGTTTGATATTACAAATTTCAAAATAAGTGAAAGTAATTGCTCACCTATATACTTGCAATTGTATACATTACAATTTCAACTACTAGAATAAGAAATAATTTATCAGAAGGATCAAATTTTAGTTAGTGTCTGTTTCAATCCTGCTTATTTTTTTCTTTTTATACAACTAAGAATGGCAAACAAGCTGACGGCCCACTTGTGAGAAAGTGGTAACCGTCGCCTATAGACATGAGCAGTACCATGGACATAACAGTAACAACCCTGTATATTCACTGCCATATTTATTCCCTTCAAACCTTTTTTTAATACACAGCCGTACAAACACAACTGCTTCACCTGGTTGAAACATGAATAGTACATGAGGAATATCGTGGACACAACAAACGTCTTTTGTACAAAGTCTCCTTCTGAAATATATTATATTAGACTGCTTACGTTGTATCACAAATGGTACAAAGGCGCCCAAGCAAACGTCTTTTGTACAAAGTCTCCTTCTGGTATATTATATTAAGTACTAGTTGTATCTCGCGGGTTAGCCCGCGTTAATTAGTAATATCTTATATATGTTAAATTGAATTAATTCTAAAAAATACTGAAATTAAGTTTCATTATTTTTATATAAAAGAATATATATTCTTTAACATATGTTTAATTTCAAGGAAATCTGTTAGACAATATACGGTCTCGTACAAATTGCCACTCCTATTTTTGTACCCTTAGCTGCCCACGCCGAATTTGGAAAAATCCTTTATTACTTGGGTAGGCCATAAAAGGAATCTACTGTCTAAATTTAGTAGTTCTAACTTCAGTAGTTTCAGCTGTGGGATGAGGAGTCATTCAGTCATAATATATTTGAAATACATAATATGAAATATTGTCTTCCTCCTGTAAACAATTAACGTCCAATTCATTGAGCCTCACTCTCCTGTCTCAAGGTGACTTTCATTTCCGCTAAATCTCTGTAATCTAATTAAAGTAGATCAGGCATCTCAAAGGTATTGTTGTGGCAACAGTATTTATTGCGTTTCCTGGTAAATTAGCTTTATTGTTATATTGGCGCTGAAAAGGCAAAATATATTAAGCGCCATTTAGCTAATTCTGCAAAAGAGCAAAACAAACTGAACGATACAAAAAGACTAACGATATAAAAACGATAATAAAAAATATAGAAAATAGAATTATCGACATAGCCGGAAAAATAATTAAGTTGCAGTGGCAATGGACTGGTCACATAGCTGGAATAATAATAATAATAAAATGAAAAGGTCCAACGATGGGGAAAAGAAAAAAAAGGCTCTTGAGTGGCGAACCTGTACTGACAAACGCAATGTAGGACGACCACTTACTAGATGGAGTGATTCAAGAGGTCATCACCTCAAATTCATTGCAGGTCAGGGAGTCAGTGGATGCAGGTGGTTCAGGACCGTTCTTTATGGCAGTTTATGGGGGAGGCCTATGTTCAGCAGCGGACAAATAATGGCTGAGATGAGATGATGATAGAATTATCAGAAAGCAGTTATCTCAGTTATATATCATGTCTTAATAATTTTGACAATTTTGTTATATCAATAACAAATCGGTAGAAACCGAAAAGTTTTTTAAAAGTAAACCAATAAATCTCTGTGGTCGGCCATTTTGTGTCTTCGTTAAATCACCACCATCTTATTCTGATTATCTCATTAAATACTAGCTGTATGTATGTATATGGTAACTTAGGATACTTACTCGTATACCAAATTTAATACAAATCCAATCAGTACAAATTACAAACTTCCACATTTATTATATTATATTTTTTTATACAACTTAAAATGGCAAACAAGCTGACGGCCCACCTAATGGAAAGTAGTAACCGTCGCCTATAGACATGAGCAGTACCATAGACATAACAGAGTATACTATTTCGCCCATGATACCCCCCATGCATTGCCATTCCTGAGGACTCAGGTGTTATTCCTCTGTACCCTGTAAATTCACGCCATATCCCGCCCTTCAAACCGAAACACAGCCATGCAAAAACAACTGCTTCACGGTAGAAACACGAATGGGATAGAGGAACCCAAGCAAACGACTTTTGTACAAAGTCTCCCTCTGGTAAATATCGACTACGATACGATACGAATACGATATCAACGTCGAAAAAAACTAAGTTCAGCGATATATATCTTAATATCGGCTAAAGTGATACTAAATACGTTTTGCCTTTCCACCGTCGATGTAGGTGAACTGTTTAAGTTTAGCGTACCCAATTTTCTGTGGTTTCGGTTCTATTAGGAAGCAATGAATAAATTAACAACTGTCTCTAGCGCACAATATCCATTTCCTATTGCGGATACTTTGGCCAAATTGTTTTTGAATATAAATGAAGGTGAAGTAACAAACATTTCCTACCCAAGTATTACAAACAAAATGGCAAACAAACGGACGGCCTACCGTCGTCTATTTATATCCTCGTCTATATATCTAAAATGATCTCTTTCATATTTTAATTTGAAAATTTCAAGAAATTACTATTTTATCAATCACTATTAACAAAAATTATAATAATTTTGACTTTATTACAAAAATCTATGTAATATTTATTTTATAAATGTATTAATTTGTAATCTGTTGCCTTGCTATAAATAAATAAATAAACATTACCGTGAAGGTATTTCGATTCTAAGACGATAGATACAGAGAAATAACACCTGAGTCCTCAGGAATGGCAATGCATGGGGAGTATCATGGGCGAAACAGTATACTCTGTTATGTCCATGGTACTGCTTATGTCTATAGGCGACGGTTACCACTTTCCATCAGGTGGGCCGTCAGCTTATTTGCCATTCTAAGTTGCATAAAAAAAAAACAATTTCGAAAGATTTTAGTTCGAGAGGAGTTTTGCAATCAATAAACAGCTTTTTAATGAGATAGTCATAATGAGATGCTTAAGTTGATAAATTAAATTTATACTTGGGGCGTCTAACTCTATCTATATCTGTGGAGATTACCGTGACTTTTATATAAAGTAACCCTCTGGTTGGTTACACTTCGACCTCTTTCACATAAAACCTCCTTTGATCTTCTAATTTACAATTTGTATCGTGTATTTTGTAACGTTTCCTAACGTGGCTTTTCTAAATCAACGGCAAATTTTACCTAATTTTAATGTGACAATTGAAGTCGTTTTTATTTTTTTACTTCGTAAAACACAATCTTTAAATATCTGTATGCTGAACAATTTTCCTGTATTTGTGTACTATTTACATTACAAGTACTCTTACTCCATCATCACACAGATTTCTAATTGTACCTACTCCATTAACCAGGGGGAAAGGGATTGTTGGCAATGGAGTTTGACAGCCCCATTGCCAGCAATATGCCCTATCAGGTCGACCTCCACGTGGTTCCCCCTGGAAACCATCGTGAACAATTCTTATTGAATTCGTCACGATGAGCTAACTGACCTGCTACATCCTCACCTATCATCCTTCACTGGTGCCCCGCCGGTGTATACCGATAGCGCGGGTGGGGTTATCATTCCATTATCATCAATTAAAAAAAAAAAACTCTATTAACCATTAAACCACGAACGTCATAATACACTAGTGTATATACTCGAACGAGAATTTATAACAATGCTAAAATTAAATCCGCCCGTTTTGGTAATGCAGCAATAACGACCGCCAAGTGCATGTGGCCATTGTCTATCCTTAGTATTGTACCTTATTTAGTAACTATTGTTTTACTGGACCTTGAATCGAGTCATTTTGAAATGATATAAAAAAATTGCCTAGTAAGTTGAAAATATCATATGTCAATTACTACAGATATTTGCATTTACTATTTCACGACATTTATAATAGTTAATTTTAAACCACGACATTGGTCAATTTAGGTCGGCTATTACCGTCTGTATATACCTGTTTTTGTTTATTAAAAGCACGTATATACCTGCTTTTTTTATTAAAAAGCAGATATATACTCGTAAGTACTATTTACCTGTAAAAAATTCCTCATTGCATTAAGTCCCGATAGTGTATTTAAAATAAACGAATACTTTATTAATATTTGTACATAAAATATTTTATACGAACATTAACAATATAATAATAATTATGAACGCCAAATTGTAATGCTACCTAATTACATAATGCTTCAAACATACCAGCATAGATCAAAAAGGTTTACACTTTTCAACCGAATGTTTGTTGTCTCATAACTCCATCAATTGTAAACCGATTTGGAAAATTCTTTTTTTATATGAAAGGATATACTTACAGATTGGTTTTATAGAAATTTTATGAAAATCGGTTGTTTAGTTTTTAAATTAAATTAACTAGTTCTCCCACATTTGAAGTCGGTTTTTCTTTTGTTGAACACAATCTTAATTATAGAGGGGGGAAAGAGATTGTTAGTAATGGAGACTAAAAATCCCATTGCTAGCAATATACCCAACCAGGTCGACCTCCACGTGGTTCCCCCTGGAAACTATCATGGTTAATTCCTGATGAATTCATCATGATGGGCTAACTGGCCTGTTTTCATTCTCATCGATTACCCTTCACTGGTGCTCCGCCAGCATATCCATTAGTGCAGGCGGGGTTACCATACCATTTTCATCCACCAAAAAAAATCTTAATTATAGATAGATTAATAGATATTTTCTTTGCATTACTTACACACAAATAACAACAGACAGACGATAGATGTACGCAAAAAGAAAAAATACATAAAAGAAGAAACATAACTTTTTATTTCGTGCGTGTGCCTAAGTAACAGAAAAAAGTAATTAGCAAAATTGTCATTATAAAATTGTTAGTGCAAAATAGACTTTGTTTAACAATTATATGTTATTTATATAATTAAAGAGAGCTTTTTATTTGATTTGTTTGTTCAAATAAATACAAACTCGATACTAAGTAATTGTGGTATCGAAGAATCTAATAGTAAACCTTATTGCATTTGAATAAAAGATTGTGGTTTTTATTAGAACAAAATTTATTCATTGTTTGTTCCTTTTAGGATACCTACTATAGATATTTTTATATTACCTGCTGAGAATTGGATAATATTGTTTTTTGAAATAAATATTTCCTAACAATAATAGGTATTTACTTCAAAGAAACAGATTTTTTTGTATCTACTTACTTACATATTCTAAAAATATTTGATGGTCGAACATAAAATTTTAAAACTGACTATTTTAATCAATTATTAAAAAGAAGGAGATTACCCCATTTATTTTTTAATAATATATATAATGGCAAACAAGCTGACAGCCCACATAATGGGGGATAAAGGATTGTTAGCAATGAAGTTTGCCAGCCCCATTGCTAGCAATATGCCCTATTAGGTCAACCACCACGTGGTTCGCTCTTGAAACCATCGTAAACAATTCTTGTTAAATTCGTCACAATGGGCTAACTGACCTGCTTCATCCTCACCTATCATCCTTCACTGGTGCCAGTCAGTCATATATACGTCATAACGTCAGTGTATATCGATAGCGCAGGTGGGATTACCATTCCAATATCATTCATTAAAAAAAAAAGCCTACATAATGGAAAGTGGCAACCGTCGTCAATTAACATGAACAGCACTATAGACATACCATAGAAGTAACTACACATTTAGAACGACTTTTGTACATTGTTTTCCTCTAGTCCTTATTATCTATATATCTTACCTATATAAATTAGATATACTATATTTGCTAATCCTTAATGTAGGTGAATCATTTTCCATCTTGCAGGTACAATCGCTTATGTTCCGCAAATCATTGCCATGTCCACTGCCCCCAGTTCCCGCCTCCTTACTACTCCAACTGTTCCCTTTTGGAGTTCTGCTCGACAGAAGAATGAAAATTCTCATGGCTGGAGAAAAGGTAGGTTTAAAAAATACACACTTGATACGAAATATGACGAAAGATAATAGACTTAATACTTTCTGTTCTTAACATTAAGCTCGCCATTTATACGAATTTTATCAATAAATAATATAAAATATATTAAAATACACTTCAAGAAAAATATACTTTTTATTTTTTAATGTTGGATGTATATCCATAATTTTTTTTATACAACTTAGAATGGCAAGCAAGCTGACGGCCCACCTGATGGAAAGTGGTAACCGTCGCCTATAGACATGAGCAGTACCATGGACATAACAGAGTATACTGTTTCGCCCATGATACCCCCCATGCGTTGCCATTCCTGAGAACTCAGGTGTTATTCCAACATGCCAACTTCATAACTTTTTTTAATTGCAGTGACGTACTTAATATTTTATTTAACGCTTCATTTCAGCTAGTGGAAGCATGGGGAGGCCCGTGTAGTCGTATTGAAAAGTCCCCTATTTCTGAGATACTTCGACTGAGAAAACCAAAAGTATCATTCACATGGGATAAGGTAAGAAAATAGTTAGAAAATAGTTTTATAAGTGCTGAGACAGCATTGGTGAGGAATGTACATATTTCGTTATTGAGTAATAATTAAAGCGGTTTTAACATTTTATAAATAATATATTACAAATTTTGAAATTTTTTTTACACTGTCTATTGCAAATTTTGAATAGGAAGGCCAATAAAAATTTTGCCATTTCTACAAAAAAAATATAAAATAAATTGTACAGGGCCGAATAGCGTAACTTCTAAAATATGGTGACCATTGTCAGTAAAAAAACGAGACTATGGCGTCCACTTTGGTCACAACCAAGCCCTCTATCATCCGAGGCCACTCTCATAAAATTGTATCTGGCCATACTACGCTGAAGGATTTTTCAATTTCAATACTGAAACACAATTTAATTGCATTGCATCATGAAGAAATTGTGAAGTATGTTAGATGATGGTAACTGAATGGAGATGTCGGTAGGGGCCGCCCTAGACGAACGTATGTCGACCAAATAGGCAACGTGTTGAAGAAGGGCCAAATTAAAAGTACCCATAACCGGCGAGGGTGTATAAAAAGATTGATGAATGTAGAAGAAGCGAAAGAGGTTTGTTTGAATTGAAGCATTTGATATTCCATTATTTCTGCCTACCCTAATGGGAGACAGGCGTGACAGATATGTATGTATGTATGTTTGTATGTATGATGGTAACTTACTACTCTAATGGGAGGCAGGCATGACAGTAATGTATATATTTATAGTGGTAACCTACATTGGAGAGTTATTTTAAATATATCAACTTCATTTTACAGGTAGTGTGTATGCAAACGATGCTGTTTGAGCTGGAACTGATGCGTTGGCGCGCCCGATGCACAGGAGAAACCAGGCGTGGGAGTCAGGGTGCGCGTTCCATACTGCTCAAGGGACCGATATATTTGCTCGAAGAAATTGATGCACTAGTCTTCTTGTGTAGCCCTATGTTAGTACGATCTACATAATTCTCTTTCTCTTTTTGAACTGACTGACTAGTAGTGGACAGCCTATAAGGATTAATGGATGATAATGTAATGGCAAACCCACCCACGCTAATGTTAAACACTGGCTGGGTAATGCAACATGACAGATGAGAATGAAAAGGCATGTCAGATAGCTCATCATGATGAATACACCTGGAATTATGCATGATGGTTTCCAGAGAGGACCACGTGGAGGTCGACCTGACAGGGTATATTGCTAGTAATGGGACCGGTAGTTCGCGTTACTAACAATCCCTTCCCGCTCACCCCAGTTGTAGGGCTTCTGTATTCATGTTATTAGGCGCATTTAAGGGAGGAAGAGCGGGGAGGGGGACGAGTGGACTGCATCCACCACAGAATTGTCTAGTGCCTATGCCAGGATATAAGCAAAACTTCGTAAAAACATTTCTTTTAAGGGATTTGAAAAATAAATTCAAATACACCAATGGCCATCACGCTTAATATTTAAAACTTCTATGAAACTTTGGGGAAGTTAATTTTATAAATAGAGATTAATACATAATTCCAGTTTCAATGACTTGGATGAGCTACGACAGGCAGGTCTGTACGTTGCTGATTTAAACGGCCACGGTCTCTCGCAGTGGATGCTTCTAGAGGGTTGGCAGCACTTGTCCAGACTGGAACTACTCTTTGAGAAGGCGGAAAGTAGATCGATGTCTCTAGAGAAGTCATGTCGATTGCTAGACCAATGGAAAAAGAGAGGAGATCAGCTGTTGTATTCGATGATTCCTAAAGCGATAGCAGACCATTTACGAGCTGGGAAAGATCCTATGGCAGCTTGTCAGGTACTTCTTAATGTTATTACGTTATTTTACTAATATTATAAATGTAAATTGAAAATATATGTGTCCATATGGTCCAAATGCTTTATCAACACTATTAATTAAAAGAATCTTCGTACAACAGACAATACAGCAATCTTAATACAGACATTCGGTTTGATGGGAAGGTTTGAATGGGATATGGCGTGAATTTATGAGTACAGAGGAATAACACCTGAGTCCTCAGGAATGGCAACGCATGGGAGGTATCATGGGCGAAAACTCTGTTATGTCCATGGTACTGCTCATTCCATAGGCGACGGTTACCACTTTCCATCAAACTATTAAGTTGTATAAAAAAAAATTAAAAAAAAGACATTTTCCATTTTTTTAACAGTTCACAGAGTAAGTCATTACAACAGTCTTTTTTACAGATACACAATATATTTTCTTTAAAAGCTTGCTGTACGATTAATGTGGTACGACAGTTGGTACTAGAAATCCCAATATGACATGTATGTTAGGAAAACCATAATCGCTTGCCCTAATATACATGCCACATATACTAAACACAACACATACACCCAAATCTATAGGCTTTTGTATATTATATGTGTATTTAAACAACATATTTCGACTTCGATATTTTTCACTATTTTTAATAAAATCCCCATACCGATATTTATTTTAAATTTATTTGTATCAAAATCATACCAGTATTTTGGTGAAACATGTAACTCGAAGTGTACACTATTGAACATCTAATGTAACCATTCTTCTTTTCATTTAAGAGTTTCCTCTTGTCGGTGCAACTAATTCATGTATCTTCCTCCATTAATGCAAATAAAAAATCTGAATCTGAAAGGCGCCCCAATAGCAGAGGCGTGTTTACCATTCCATGATCGTCTACTAAGAACCGATCTTTGAACATAAATTAATCATAATTTTTCTACATAATTTTTATCACAATTCGAGCGTAACGTAACTGTAAACAGTTTAATGTTTGTATCTGCAGGCATTCGAATCTGTGACCGTAATCTTCTGCGGCGTGCAACTAGCGGAGGCCGGCACTCGTGCTGACGTGATGCAGACTGTGGCCTACATGAACGACATATACTCCAGGATAGACAGACTCCTTGACACGCATCGAGTTTACAAGGTACGATAGATACTGGTACTGGTCATGTCTATAGGCGACACGCATCGTCAGGTTGTTTGCCATTCAAGTTGTAAAAAAAAAGATAGATAGATACGCTTTATTGTTTCCTCCAAAAGATTACAATAGTAAACTTATTATGAATATAAACAATTAGTAAGCATTATTACGTCGAAGTTGGGTCAAGCGAGCAAATGCTCGTTGATCTTTTCTACGATTTTTATTTTACCAGAGGGAGACTTTGTACAAAAGTCGATTGCTTGAGTACCTCTGTCCCATTCGTGTTTTAACCGTAAAGCAGATGTGTCTTGTTAGTTGTGTTTCGGTTTGAAGGGTGGGATATGGCGTGAATTTCCAGGGTGCAGAAGATATAACATCTGAGTCCTCAGGAATGGCAACGCATGGGGGGTATCATGGGCGAAACAGTATACTCTGTTAGGTCCATGTTACTGCTCATGTCTATAGGCGACGGTTACCACTTTCCATCAGGTGGGCCGTCAGCTTATTTACCATTCTAAGTAATATAAAAAAAAATTGTGTTAATACCCTCCATCAATCACGGCTGTATACTTGTATATGTATCTTTATAAGTCTACGCTTCTAGCATTAATGACTTGTATGACACCATGTTTCCACCAAAACATATAATTCACAAGGAACCTGACTGTTATAAATGACTCAATAGTCACTAACTATAGTGCAATACATCTCTCAAACACAAATGAGAGTATTTTAGTGGAAACGAAAAATTATTAAATTTCGGTTATCAATTTTATAGGTAGAGACAGTGGGCACGGTATACATGTTGGTGTCAGGAGCACCAGAGCGTCGACGGGCGCACGCGGCCGCTGCCGCCAGCGCCGCGCTTGCCATCTCACGTGCATTGCCCATGCTGACTGTAGGTACGTAAACAGACTGGTATTAGGTAGTAGCAGGGTTGCCGGGGGGAAGGGATTGTTAGTAATGGGGAGTTGAGTTCCCATTGCTATCAATATACCCTATCAGGTCGACTTCCACGCGGTTCCCCCTGGAAACTATCGTGACCAATTTATCATTGAATTCGTCACAATGGGCTAACTGACCTGCCTTTTCATCCTCACCTATCACCGCTCACTGGTACCCCCCTAGTGTATACCAATAAAATAGCGCAGGCGGTGTAACCGGGTAGGGTATTTTCAGGCATAAAAAAAAGTACCAGGGTTGCCGGATCGATTTTTTATTTTTAACAAAATATGAAATATTTTTTCTCCAATTAAATGTGTTTTATTTTACTTTTACTCAATCTCAAGCTTATATCATTATGTTTTATCATTAATTACGAAGTAAACGAAGAGAAAAAAAATGGCTACACAGTTTACAAGAACCAAAACTGCTAAAATAATACCCAATGTGACAACACTGGGTAAGGATAAAGTCAACATAGGCTAAATCTCCATTACTAATTTTCCAAGACTTCTACCAACTACCCAAACAGTCACTTCTATAATTATTCTTTTATACAAACTGCAAATGAGTGTAAATAGTCATATAATATTTGTGCTTTACTGTATGAAAAAAATAATAAATAAATTGCATTACTGTATGAAGGATAATTAACAAATATAAATAGTATTATATTGTTTACAATAGTTCCTATTTAGTTATAATTCATATGCACAAATAATAACCTTTCTATTATTTACTAAAATATACTACCTATCTAGGAATCCATTCGGGGCCCTGCGTAGCGGGCGTGCTGGGACTACGACTGCCCCGGTACTGCCTTGTTGGGGACTCTGTCAACACTGCCAGCAGGATGCAGACTACATCCGAGGTAAATGAATAGCTACCTAACTATCTAGTTTAGGGGAAAAGGGATTGTTAGCGGGCTACCAGTCAAGTGGTCCCCACTAAAAACCATCGTGCTGAATTCCAGATGTATTCATTACGCTGAGCTAACTGACCTGCCTTTTCATTCTCACCTGTCATCCCTCAATCGGTGCCCCGCCATTGTATACCATTACGCTTTCATTTTTTTCACAGTCAATAGATGCAGGTACTTTCAAGTCAAGACTGATCCTTTAGGTATAACCACCACAGCAAATGATTAAAAAGCTGAAATAAATTATTTATTAAATTTTTATTATTTGCCAATTGTTAACCTTGTAACTAACGTGTCTAATACGATCTAGATCATCATCATCATCATTTCAGCTATCATCCGTCCACTGCTGGACATAAGCCTTCCCCGTAGACTGCCATAAATAACGGTCCTGAGCCACCTGCTTCCGCTGACTCCCTGCAACGCATTTTAGGTCGTCACTCCATCTAGTGGGGGGTCGTCATACACTGCGTTTACCCGTACGTGGTCGACACTCAAGAACCTTTCTTCCACACTATTACAAAGTTTTTGGCTACATCAAATTCTCAACTTTTATTCTATTAACAGATTACATACAAAAGTTTGTAACGATGGATGAATAGATGTTTGTTATTCTTTCACGCAAAAACTACTAAACGAATTTGAATAAAATTTAGTACACGAGTAGATTATATCCGCTAGGAATACAGCTAGTAGTATTATAAATCGACATTCTGTATGACTAACACCAAGAAACAAGAAATGTACTTTTAATATTCCGAAATAAAGTATTTAAGTACTGATTTTACACAATCTTATTAAAAAGATACATTGGGTAATACAAATTCGACGGCGACCTAGCGCTGTGATGAACACTGCATAAATGAAGTCCCGCATGCCGAAATGGGTTCGATTCCCGATTAGACAAATTTTGGAAATTAAGGAAGATCATTTCTGAATTGGTTTCGGGTCTGGGTGTTCCTGGTGTCCGATTTGTGACCTCAGACGTTCATTGACTGGTTCCTCATAATACAAAATATCCCGGCTTAAGGACCATGCGATGGGTGTGATTATATATTTGTAAAACATTGTGTCTTGGTAATCCCTTTATGGGCTCTCGATACAGGTTCACCTAGTACGAGGTCCAATGTACTTATGTTATATATTCCTTGTGTTTAATAAACAAATATAGAATAAAAATATATTTAAATTATGCATTTATGAATTCAGCCAGGTAAAATTCAGATATCGGCGCAAACAGCAGCTGAACTGCCGGCGGGTAGATTCAGGCTCCGGCGACGAGGACTCATCAAAGTTAAGGTATAATAAATAACAATAAGTTATATATATATATATATAGTTATATTATATATTAGTTATATATATATATATATATATATATATATATATATATATATATATATATATTCCCTATAAATTTTCCATGTGTTGTAAAAATGTTATAAACAGAATAACTTTATTCATGATTCACCAGATATCTACACATCCATACCAAAAAGAAACTGTACAAGTTGTCTATTGGGGGGAAGGGATTGCTAGTAATGAAGTCTAAGTACCTCCTTATTAGCAATATACCCTCAATCAGGTCGACCTCCACACAGTTCCCTCTCGAAACTATGGCGATTAATTCTTATTGAATTCATCACAGTGGGCCCACTGGCTTGCTTTCATCATTACCTAACATCCCTCACTGGTGCCCCGCTAGTGTATGCCAATAGCATAGGCGGGGTCACTATTACTTATTTCATTTACACCCATTAAAAAAAAAGTTGCCTATTGGGGGGTACCTTTATCCCACTTCTATTTCTGCCAAGAAACAACTGTGTTTGCATGACTGTTTCGGTTTAAATAGTAAGATGTTAGGGAAATTACAGAAATAACACTACCACTTGTACAAAGTTTTATTGTGCAATAAAGAATAGATAAATAAATAAATAAACACCATAGTCTTATATCATGGAAGTAATGAAGTATTCTATGATGGCCACGGTGTTCTTCATATTCATATTATCGTCATATTTGTTGTCTTGCTTATTTCCTATATCGTATAATGCAAATAAAGTATACTCGTTCATTTATTCATTCATAGGTGACGATAAGTACTGTTTATCAGTGAACCATTACCTTGTTTACCAGTCTAAATTGCATAAAAAATCATATTATTAGACATAAAGGACATACTTTTTATTAATTGCTGGTCACGCGGACGAAATCATGGACGTAACAACTTTGTCCTATCGTTAATTTAGAAATTTTACTTCAAACTATCTAAATTACAAAATAATCAATAAAAAACACAAGTCTTGTTTGTTGCGCCATCTAGTATTCCGTGTCTAATTTTTTTTAGTGAGCAACCACGGTAATACTAAACTTTTACGTATATTTTTTTTTGTTTTTTTTATGGGTGAAAATGGAATGGTAACCCCGCCTGCGCTAACGGGATAGCTGGCGGAACACCAGTGAATTTTATTGATAGATGAGAATGAAACCATGTTAATACCCATCATGATGAATTCATTTACGTATATTATGGAATCAAAATACAATGGCAACCCTGCCTAACAATCCTTTTTCCCCACTTTTACGTATATTATGAAATCAAAATACAATGGCAACCCTGCCTACGCTATCGGTACATACATGCGCTTACTTCACGAACGGATGAACTTAAGTTAGTTAATTTAATGGGTGGTAATGGAATGGTAATCCCACCCGCGTTATCGGTATACACCGGCGGGGCACCAGTGAAAGATGATAGGTGAGGATGAAGCAGGTCAGTTAGCCCATCGTGACGAATTCAACAAGAATTCTTCACGATGGTTTCTAGGGGGAACCACGTAGAGGTCGACCTTATAGGGCATATTGCTAGCAATGGGGATGTCAAACTCCATTGCTAACAATCCCTTTCCCCCAACTTAGCTCAGTTATATCACCAGTAATTAACCATGATAGTTTCCAGGGGGACCACGTGGAAGCCAATCTGACAGGGGTGTATTGTTAGCAAAGGTTGCTATTTTCAATTACTAACAATCCCCTCCCCGTAATCCTTATCTACAAGCTTACTGGCCAAAGGTAATATAATAATACATACTGAACTGTTTACATATTAACTTCTTTCAGGGTAAGGGGATGATGGAGACATTCTGGCTGGAAGGAGAAATAGAGGAAGAGGAGCAAGATGAGGCTCTGCAATTATTTTCAGCACTTTGCGGAGATAATTAGGAAATTTAATATTTTAATCAATTATCAGGTTTGATGATAGAATGAACGGTAAACGACCAGTACAAGAGAATCTTTAATGACACTTACTTAATTAAAGTCACAAAACTGCCATATTTTTTTATAAACGGAATATTAATCCGATCTGCGGTATCAGTATACTCAGGCGGAACTCCAGGGACTGATGATTGGTGAGGATGAAGTCAGGTTAGTTGATGTTTACTCCAAAGAATCCTGACATTGAAAATGGTATTGTAGATAATACTATACAATAATACCATAGGTATATTATTTTTTATAAATATTTAAAAGGAAATTTTAAATTAATTTCAAAGAAATAAGACTCTGATAACTAGATAATAATTTAATATCAACAGACGAATTAAATTCGTATTTCCGTATTTAGAGTCATTACAATATTTTGTGTATTTTAAATATATTAAAATTAGATAATGTAGTAAATTAGTTGCCTAAATGTTTGCTATATTTATAAGTGACAATTTGAATAACAGGTTTTTACTATGTGGTGTACAATTATAAAATAAAACTAAATAAAATAAACAGGTTTACTAAAAAGAGGTGGCACTATGTGGGATCGATAGAAATGAAACTTCTATATATAGTTTTTTATGGAACTTTGATTGACAAACAATGTAAACATATTCCATGAGATGATCTGTTAACTTGTTTAACAATCTATGAATATATAGATATATACACTTGAATTCCATGACCGTCACTCAATACACCGTACCACCCGTAGTACCATTCACATGTTGTCATTCCTGTGTTATGCTTCCATACCCTGTAACTTTTCTATGATTAATCGCTAAATTTACATATTACTGCAGCTATTCCCATCCAATTGAATTTTTGTATATGTACTATTATAATTTTATATAATATAGAAGTTTCATTTCACCTTTTTTTTTATTTTGGAAACCCTAAAAATTACCACGTTATCTAAAAAGTGGCAACACTTTACAGAAATTCAATTACACCATAATTACACAAGGCCTAAGAAATCATAATCGTGTTGAATATTACGAAGTAGTTGCTTATCTAAGTGTAAAAATATGTATGTAATAATGTATACAGAATATACGCTATGTTTACTATTTATTTTATTGCCAACTATAGGAATAAAATGCATTTGTGGCAACACTACAATGGCAATCAAATCTAATGAATATCTTTTGCGAAATGTTTCTATATGATGAGGTCCGTTTTGCTCCGTATAGTGATGTCACAATTGCATATTTTTGTTCTACCATAAGACAATTTGTTAAATATTTCACTGTATTATATTAAACGTTGGTGTATTTAAGGCATGGCCTTACATATGGTCATATACACATACGGTCATATACGCATATAGCCATATACTCATATGGTCATATACACATATGGCCATATATACATACATGGCCATATACACACATGGACATATACACACGTGGCCATATACACATATGGCCATATACGCACATGGTCATTCAGACATGTGTTTGCCCATAACTGAAAGCTTCGTTGCTGATACTGGAATGAGCACCAGACAATTCTGAAGTGGCATGGTATGTAGTGAAGGTCACAAATCAACTTTGATTGTAAACGATTACAACATACAGTGGAGACATTATTTGATAGTGAGACGGCCTATGGCCTATACCATAATACTCGTATCTAAATGTTGGCACTATAACGCTAGGACGGGTGGAGTTACATTACGAACAATTTAGTGAATCGAATATAATGAATTGTATAATTATGTATGTTATATGTACATGTTTCACTTTAAAAGAATAAAATATATTGAAAAATAACACATTTGTATTCATTAAAATATTTAAATAATATAAAATCCTTATAAATTATATACTTTTAAATATACAATATTTTCATACTATTTCACTTATGCAATTAAGGGGATTGTGGGTGACACAAATATATTCGATTTCTAAACATCATGTCTATCTTACGAACAGACGTCATAATAAATTAATATAAAAAATATAAAGAAAAGGTTAAGGCACTAATTATAAAATAAAATACAAGATATTTAAAACTACCTAAGAATAATTTAAAAAAAAGCAGCTTACAAAATTATAAACATTCGTGCGTGTAAGAGAAATATTGATATCAAACAATTTCTTGGTCCTCGAAGTTTATATGGGTTATGTGCCTAATTAAAAAAAAATAGTGATACAAATTAAATTCCAGTGATACTTGATATTAAAGTAGTTAAAAGAAATTATGAATCAAAAAAATATTTGCGCGCCAACTCGATCCTGTTACTGTTTGCACGAAAACACTTGTACTAATATAAACTGTATTTATTCTATTTTTTTCTTTACATATTGTATATTTTCTTGTTGTAAGTTATACCACTAAATGTTCTTCTTTCTTTACTACTTCTAGAAATTTTTATTTAATTATATTTTATTGCCTGACCGGTTTTGTCGTATCAAGGTATTAAAGGTTTCGCTTATAAAGATTAATTCCAAATTCTACCAAATGCCAACTACCTCAGGCATAAATAGAACTACTACTTATGTGTAATGAGAAGAAAAATAATGTAAATAATTTTGATGCCGACAAATATTGAAGATAAATTTACAAATATTGATGGCGTAGTTCACACTTGTCCTAACTATAAAATTCCAAACTCTAAAGCAGCCTTGGATAGGAATGAATAATTAAATTTAGTTTAGTAAATCTAGAACAAAAAAATAGTGGAAACGAAATCTTTTATAATATAATACAAGGACTAAACAAATTAAACCATCAATATAATATAATAATAGACAATAAAAATAGTTAAAATGCAATAAAATATCACTCAAATCCGTAATAAAGACACTTTACAAGTAAACTGAGTAAACAAAACAATTGTGCAATAAATGTTAATTGATAGCCAACAAGGCACAATAAATAAATAAATAATGTCTTGTAATAATCACAATGCAAAAATAATAAACAAATGTCATTCAGCAATTTTTACCGAACAAAATCTATGTTTGTAAAAGGCAAGAAATGGAAAATTATATTCTAACCATAATAATTGGTGCAAGTCTTGAAATGTGATTCCTACTACATAGCAAATAAGGAATGAATTTGTCAAGATGCTTAGAAAATGTTTACGTCACACTTTAAGACACCTAAAGACAAAATAGAAGTAAAACGAATGCTTATAATTCTAAACATAACATCAATAAATATATATCTTAACACCACGTTTCTGCATAAAATTTAAATAATTATTCATCTTTAATTTATATTAATTTCTTTATTTTTCATTGTAGACATTATATACGTTTTCAATATATACAGAATCATAGATAATCATATTTAAAAAGCAAGTAGAAATTTTATAATTCTACAATGTTGTAATTATTATTATTATAGTTAAATTTGAATAATATATTTACCTCATAATAAGTACTAAGTTTGGAAATATCAAGTATAAGTGAGGTATTCAGTCTTTCTAGTTTTATGCGAATCTGGCTACTGGGTACACCGAATGCACATTTATTAATAAAAATATGAAGGCATCATATGTAATATAGTCTAATAATAAAGTATGCTGATTTTATAATATACAATATTTCGATTTCACATAAAAATAAAAATATAACCACAATAAATAAATATAAATTTATTGTAATATTTTCTATTAATAAAATTGCACCGGAGTCCTAATTTTTTTTTTATAAATACCATAGATTCCAGGTTTATACTACCTATACATCTTGAATTAGTTACAAATAAAAATATATTAATTGCCTATAAAAAAAAATCCAATTAACGTTCTGGAGTTTTCTACACAACTAAATGTCATTGTTAAGATATCTCTTAGACACCTGTACACATTTCTGGCGTCTACGTCTTCTAGTTGAAATAAATATCACAAATCACAATTAGACTTATTGCAGTACTCAATACACTTACATCTAAGGAATGTAGCTTAAGTCTATTTAGTTAAGACAAGACTAATTTTTAAAGAGAGCTGTAACTTCCTCGATTGTCCTATTTTTGGTTTCGGGCAATTTGAAGAAAGTGAATAAGAAAAATAATATCAATAGTACTGTATAAGGCAAGAAAACGTAGTTATCTAACGCTTCTGACATTGGTATGAAAGTTAAGCCAACCACGAAATTGGCAAACCAATTCACCAAAGCGCCTACACTCACAGCGGCGCTTCTGGCGCCCTGATTGAATAACTCCGATAAAATCATCCAGGGTATAGAACTCGGACCGACGCCGAAGAAAGCTACATATAGGAACGTGAAAATGACCGCAAAAGTGCTCATAGTTGTATTATTCTCATAAGTGAAGAAAGCTATCGTCATCAGAACTGAGAAAACTGTCATTCCCCCGAGTCCAACCAACTGAAGGGTGCGTCTTCCTAAACGATCCATTAAAGGTATCGATACTAGAGCCATTACAAATAAGACACTGCCAACTCCAATCGAGGCTAAACGCGCAACTGATTCCTCGAGACCTGCAGACTGGAAAATAGTCACAGAATAATAAAGAACGGCGTTGATACCGCCCAATTGTTGGGACAAATGCATAACGATCCCAATAAGGAGAGGAGTACGCAGAGAAGAAATCTTAAATAGATCAGCAATTGAAAATTTGTCCTCTTCCTTTGCTGCTTGATCTTCCACGTGCATGTCATTTATTTCATCGTTGATTTGGTTTGTACCTCTTATTTTCGTTAATGCTATTCTCGCTTTTTCTTCGTCCCGTACTGATAATAATAGAAACCTTGGTGATTCTGGCGCAAATGGTAACATGATGCACTGTAGTACTGAAGGTATGATCGCTAACCCAAGCAACCATGGCCATCCTGCATCGCTGCCTAATATAACATCGATACCGAGAATCTGTCCTCCAACCATCCCGAGAGCGACTGCCAACTGGTTGACCGTACCGAAAGCACCTCTTAAATTTAACGGAGCTATTTCAGATACGTAGGTAGGAGAAGCGGTTGTCGCAAAACCGCAGTTAATACCAATAATAAATCTTCCAATTATGAGCATTTCCACAGAGTATGCTACCTTGCTAAAGCCCATCAAGGCAGCACCCACGATACCTATGAATGAGTTAATGAGCAATGCATTCTTACGGCCACGTTTCTCAACTAGGTAACTCGCTAGTGGGCATCCAATCATTCCGCCCACAGCGAATATGCTGACGATGACACTGAAGACGAGACTGGGAGAGGCGTCGTTCTGTTCGCGGATGAAGTTCTCAATGAAGGCTCGCGGAGCATTGATGACTCCGGTGTTGAAGCCGAACTGGAGCATGCCCAGAACAGCAGCGCTGACCGCGTACAACAACGCGCCCGTTGTACCACCCGCCATGTTTGTTCGTGGTTCTGGAATGGAAAAAATATTCGAATCACTACACAATTTAGATTACCAAATAAATTAATATGTAGATTTACTGCCTCATTGTTAGTTGTTCTTTAAAAGATTTTTCTTTTTAAATACAGTATAATCATAATGACTGTAAAATAAAATTAAAATATGTACATAAAATATTTCTGTCGTAACCAATGTCTTAATCATTTAAATACAATACAAATTCGCAATCAAAAAACTTCACTTCCAAATCGTATTTTTCCACACACATTTATAAAAGCGAACTGATTATCAGTTCATCACATCACAACTGTATAAAGGATAAAATTATACTACTGGTTGGAGATTACGTTATCTACATGTAATAAAACAATAACTAGACAAAACTGTGTATAGATATAAATTTAAGCAATTTAAAACCTAAACAGAATTATGTATATTAATTGATTATCTAGCATCATATAAATATAAAAGATGTTTGAATGTCTAAATATCAAACATCTAAATGTTTGTAATTGCTTACCATTAATGACTGAATGGATATAGTTAGATAGATACTCTTTATTGTTTTCTCCATAAGATTACAATAGTAAACTTATTATAGATACAAACAATTACAAGAAGATTTAAATTCAGTAACACAGTATTTTGTCTGTCCTCTTCTCTTATCGAGACAACAGCAACCTAAATATATTTGAACCAGAACAAAGCGACTTTAACAACACACTCGGTTGCCTCGTTCAGGTCCTCCTTCGTTATTTGATAAGACTAGGACCGGGAGCCCTCTTTTTTTGTGTCGTAGTTGTTCCCTATTGGAGAATATTATAAGGTTCCGTTATAAGGATATTTCCAGCTTTCCTTTTCTTAATCTTTTATTTGTTCCCTTAGTCACTTCTCTTAATACCATGGAAATGACGTTGTATTTTAGCTTCGTCGCCAATTCGATTTGTTACAATTATTTATTTATTTATTTTACACTTTATTGCATCAAGTAAAAAATAATAAATAAATTAAATAGTAATGGGAAGTGATACAAACGGCGACCTTATCGCTAAGCAATCTCTTCCAGACAACCTTTAGATAGAGGACATAGAGAAAGACAAAGGGTAGATGGCGCACCATTATAGATACTAATTACTATAACATCTGGTAAATAAACCAAATGTCAGCGCAAACAAATCTCAAGTACCTGCAATAATTATTATCTACATTTATCTATTTTCTGATAAAAAACCGGAATCCATTTAAAAACGTTTTAGGTATATTTAAGTGCGTTCATGCACAGATGTGGCAGATGTGTACATTTACATTATGAGTGAGTTTAAAATTTTCAATACTTTTTTATGTCACATGACATATAAAAGTATTGAAAATTTTATATTGATATTACTTAGTGGTATACTGATACTACTTAGTGGTTTATATTCACACAAATTTATTATTTATACAAATTATATAAGACAACTTATATACCCTGCTAACAGTACGAGCAGGGTTACGGTGAGTCCTTCACAAAGAAGACAAATAGTGTCACAGCATTATAGCATGAAGTAGAATAAATAACGTTATTGTATTATAGAATGCTATGCATCACTAACTATCATTAGATACGGTGATTACGTTGAAACATATATTTATAAAGGCCACTAGAAAAAATTAACAATAAATAATATTAAAAAAGATATGAGATGTTACAATTTTTAAATTTAATTTTAAAATTTATTTAAAAATTTAATTAAATTTAAAATTAGTTATTGCAGTGAATTTACTCCATCAATCATCATCATTTTTCATGATCTTCTGGACTATATTGGTCTCTGTCTATCATGCGTACCTACTCCATCATTATCATATCAGCCTTTAACTGTCCACTGCTGAACATAAGCCTCCCCCTTGGGTTTTGCCAGTAGTTGCCACACTTAGTAGGCCGATTGGTAACCTCAGTTAGGCTTTATAGATGTTTTAAGAGGGTCGCTGCTGCCCATCCCTCGCCCTCCCTTAGTCGGCTCTTACGACACCCACGGGAAAGGAAGGGATGACCTATTCTATACCGGGACCACACAGCCAACCAACTCCATGGAGTGTTTATTATTTATAAATATAAATAAACAGACACTAAAGCATGCAGAAATAATTCAATTTTCGGTAATAAACAACTGTGTTGTGTACTACTGAGGTTTAAGGTCATAGATAAGTTGATTAAATTTTGTAAATTGTACATTTATTATCAATATTCTATATTTACTTCCATATTGTGCCCATAATTTGTTATGTTATTAAACACGACACTGTTTTTATATAATCTATTTTTGTTATTGTGTGCACTCGCCATGCCCACCCTACAATTGATTGGTGGCCACCCAAAGACGACAAAAACGTATCTGTGAGTACATATCCAACTTTTTAAGAGGCTCCCCCCCCCCCCCTTGAAAATACTCCTATATCCCAATATACCCTGTCAGGTCGCGGTTCCCCCTAGAAAAGGTTAATTCCTAATGAATTCGTCAACATTCGTCGACCTACTTTGCTCCTTACCTAACATATCCTCACTGGTGCCTAGCCAGTATATACTGATTGTGCTGCAAAATTTACCATTCCATTATCATCCATGAATAATCTTCCTTATATTTCGATGGTCGAAAATTCGTAAAATAGTCTAGACGTTACTATATAGCTATAATCATAATTTCAACCGCAAAGCAGTTGTGATTGCATGGCTGTGTTTCGGTTTGAAGAGCGTGAATTTATAGGGTACAGAGGAATAACACCTAAGTCCTCAGAAATGGCAACATGTATAATGGGCGAAACAGTATACTCTGTTATGTCCATGGTACTGGTCATGTCTGTGGACGACGGTTACCACTTTCCATCAGGTGGGCCGTCAGCTTGTTTGCCATTGTGAATTGTATAAAAAAAAATAGAGACTAGAAATTAATTGTTTAGTACAAGATCTACTTAATTTGCATGTAGGTGACGCTGTGTGATATAACCCAAGTTTTGTCTTTATCCAATTGGCTCGCATCGAGCATATGTACTTAGAATAACCTGTTTATGTATATCCATCAGGCATCAACAAGTTTTTTTTAAACATACAAAACATCTATAAGCCTGTTATTTTCTCATCTTAATGGTATATTTTTATGTCGAGCAAATATGTTTTTAATTTAAAATTGTATTAAACAAATATAGTCTTGGCATGTACAAGTATATTTAAATTAAACATTTAAAAAAAAAAGAATAATTATATACAATAGTTATGTAAATAATTTAACAAAAAAAAAACCTATTTATATTAGCGATTTTTTCACATCATAGATCATTATTTTTATAAAAAAAAAAATACGCCGAGGTACTAAACATCATATACCTAATACAACAACATATATGTATCTAGTAAGAAAAAAATCTAAGCCTTTTTTGGAGCCATTAGCAAAATATTGCATACGTGTACTTCACTAGTAGATACACCAAAATCTTTCACCATTCACTGTCACAATAAGGTGTATAAATAGTAAACATACGATGAACGATAAGAATCCAATATAAACAAAACGTATTAAAACACTTTCACGCGATGTTCATTAGCAACGATTGCATGTCAACACAACAAACTATCACCATGTTGAACTATTGAAAAAAAAAAACAAACTTACCTAGATATATGACTAACTACACAAATTAATACGCTTGATACAACAACACCAACTTCACCAAGGAAACTTGGACATTGTCTAATAATTAATAAAAAGGGAAAACCGAGCGGTGGCACAGATGTGTCGAAGGCAACGTAGCGTAACGCACTGACGATAAAATCAAGGCTGACGGCTGTTTGCGAAACTTGTAAAGGTGCCTATAAATTTACGCGGCTCGATAAACGATATACGATTAATGCTATTGAAAAAATTAAAAACTTTTTTAAAAAAAAAAGATATATTTTTTATTGAATGTTTTATGATATCTGTGCCAATTAGTGATAAGGTTTATTCCCATACAATTTTTGTCATAAAAGTCCTTTTCCTGTATTTTAATTTCATTTAATTTTTTTTTTTTTTTTTATGTATATGTACGTGTTTTTTTTTTATAATTTCTTGTGCAATCAACGGAGTTTACTCGCGTGTTGGACCCATATCCATTTTGTCACGTTTAAAGTAGTTCTACGTGTATTTTTTTTTTTTTTTTTTGCAACTATAGATTATACATTATACAATAAATACCAGACAGATTTTACCTACAATACTTTATCAAAGATGTCATTCTTATCAATACAGCTGACTATCTTGACAATTGAACCACTTCGATAGAATCTTTTCGGCAAGATTTTTTAGACTCCATAATCTTTTGTTTATAAAGTAAGACTAATCAGTAAAAAATAAATAATAAATGTATTCTTATTTGTTTTTGAACATTATATAAAACCACACATAAATTTTCGAAATTAGTGTAAAAAATTATCAAAAAATTACTTTTAAACGTTTACATAAGTTGGGTAAAAAAATATATATTCATACTTACTCGTAACGAACTTAATATGTGAATAAACTATATTACTTGTAAAAAGACTCGTCAAAATCGGTTTACAATAAAAAAAAATATTTATGTATACACAAAAAAAATAAACGAATTTATTTCTCCTTTTTCAAATCGCAATAAAGAATAAAATATTACAGCAAAAGCTGTAAATATGATCAAATCTGTAGACACCCTAAAAGTTGTCAATCCAGTGGCTTAAGTAATGGCCGAACGATTTCTTGTTAGGTATTTATTATTTTTAAATGCATGTACTTAAAAACATTGCATTTATGATACTTATATATATGATTCGATCGAGTTGCATGGTCACGAGGATTTGCATTTATTATATGTAGTTGTATACCTACAAAAGTATTATACATTACAATTTTATATGACAAATAGCTGATGCCCGCGACTTTGTCCGTGTGGTATTTGTTATTCCTGTTTAGTATATCTCGATGTATGTATTGATACCTACCTATTTATTATCTCTGGGAATACT